AAAATATATGCTGCTTAAATTTCAATTTAATTGGAATACTTAACTAAATACATTTCATATTCCTATCTACATATTGGATATTAAAAGTATTTGGGCACTTACTAGGTAGCACTATACACTTGGAAATTCCAAAACGGGAACCTAAAACAACTGAAAGCTAAAAGATAGCAAAGTCAATTCTAATCTTATTTTGAGCAATTAAGATGGCATTTTTATAAAGGAGGAATGATGTATGCACTTAAGACTATTTATTAATAACCATAAATTTTACTGTTTCGTCAGAAGCATGGGAAGGGAAATCACTGATAGAATAACATAACTGTAGGATTTATGAATATTATTGATTCCCTTCCAATATTTTTTCTTTGATTAATCAAGCTCAGATTTCTGACTGAATAGCTTTAAAGCTATCATTTTGAAGGAGGTAAACAATAATGTTTACCTGTACTTAAAGCAGCCTACAGGTAAAACCATTGTTTAAAGTATTAATGTCAATTTAACATGAGCAATGGCATCTTGGACAGAACTTTGAATATATTCTTTTAAAATAGATCTGTTTATAATGCAATTTATAATTGCATTCTTTCTTGGGGAGGAGAAGCTAACATCCCAAAATAACAGTTCTTATCTCAAAAAGGATGATTGCAGGTCTCTATAGTCATACCTGTTTCTTACTTTTCCCTGCCTATTCAAAATACTCATTGTTCATTACTGCCCGTTAACAATGGTGGGTATGGGTACACTAGAGAAATTAAACTTCTTACGTGTTACTTATTTTCTCTTGAAGTAACATATCCACCAATCCGGACCCACCCTGTGGTATTAAAAAAACATCAAAAAACCAAAAATAATATCTAGATCTGAGTTCCTTTGGAAAAGATTGGTTTAAAGCTATATTTAATGGGCGAGTTGGATTTATTAGTGATCTTGTAAAGCTGTATAAATGTCCGTTGGGAAGTAGATTTGGTGGGACTTATCGTCAGAGATCCTGAAGTGACAGCCTGAACTGCTCCTATAACTTTGGAGAGGAAGAGACATGACCCATTAGAAACGGATTGCTGGATATATTATTTTAGAGAAAAAAGAAAAGAACAGGTAAGACATTTTCCACTTCTTCTATTTCCTCGTCACTACAAAGTATTTTGTAGCATCTGTGATGCACTGTAGACTGTTAACCAGCTAACCAATCTCAAACAGCATGTTACATGAACACAAAGCAAGATGAATGGTTTTACAAATAAATACTTTTGCATCTTGGTTAAAGGCTCAAAATATGGGCTTAACAAATAATAATGTCTGGGTGATTTTTGCATTTAAACTACACCTTCTTAAGAAAGCAGGTATTCTGTGTCATCAATTATTTTGAAAAGAATTGAATTTTGGGAAGAATAAAAGAACTGAAATACTGACTTCTGGGTTAGGAGTATTTTGGTGTTGTCTTCCATGCCCATGTATGGCTGCAAAACAGGGAGTCTCTTCATGATCATGAGTCAAAGTACGTTAACAACTGTGAAATGTGAAATATCTATCCACCTACCTGTCTTGCACCTATTGACTCCTATGGCCTTTGATCCTCATGCATTTGCATTTTCACAGACTGGCATTTTGCGTATTGGCTTCTGTTCAATCCAGCAGACTCTCCCTATGCCTAAAGAAGGGTGTTTGTACACAAAAGCTTGCAAAGAACAATTCTCTAGCTATTTGGTCTAATAAAAAAGAACCTTGTCTTCAGATATCCATCTGATTCACATCACTGAGTGCTATTGAACCCAGCCTTCCAGGAACATGCCTCATGTGCATTTACCTGGCATTTTAAATAATATTTTCACTTTGGGCACTAAGTTTATGATGTTGTAATGCTTGTGCTGTACAATAATGCTTTTTATGTGATTTTTTTTTTTTTTCTGAATTATGGCAGAAACTACCAAGTCAGGGTTGGTTTTTTTTGTTTTTGCTTTGCTCCAATGGGATCAATGCTAATAGGACTAGAAATATTAGTTTCATGGAAGTGCTCTCTACCTAAAGTTGAATAATAGAGAAGTTGGGACGTTAGTTCAGTTACTTTTATGAAAATTCCCTTCCTTCATGTAGAAAGGAACTGCTTCCAGTGTCTTCAAAAACTACTCAATAGAAAACCTGGACAGGATTCATACATTCAGTTAGTTTCTTTCATTCTAACTTCTATTGTTTGCTTGTTGCCTTTTTTTCTTTATGACTAAATGAGATTCTAATCTTCAGTATAAATTAAGAGTACTTGAAATCAGTGTAACTTTACACTCTGTCAGTGAGATTGGGATCGTTGTTTAGTCTGTCCAGAGAGGAGGTTTGTGGTTTCTTATTCAGGAAATGGTTGCATCCTCCTCATAGTATTTAGACTTGAGAAAATAAACAGGACATTTAGGGGAAAGAGAAGAAAAAGGGAGCGGGGGAAAGGATGCAGTGGTAGAGAGAGAATCTCATTAAATATCTATTAGGTAAGGACCTATTGAAAACCCAGGTAAGTAATTACGAATGCAGAAGTAAAAACTCAGGTAGCTTGACGAAATTTGTAATTGGCTCTGGTTTTGCCAGATGATCCAACATGCTACAGGACAGTATATAAAGACAGTCTGTCTTCACCTTCTTTTTGTCACTGTGAGGTACAACATCTCAAGTTAAGGGGATCTACACTTCTTTTATGACTTCAGGGATCAGAGTCCTTTTTAAAGGGCTCTACCCTTCACACTAAAGTGAGAATGAGATTTCTACTTCAGGGATCAAGGGAAGCCAGGACAGGGATCCAACTCCTCTCTTCCAGTTCTGCTGCAACCACAGTTCAGAACAGATCACCTTGATGAGATAAGGGAACAGAGCATATTTAATACCATCTTTACCCCCTTAATTCAACTTGGTTTGCAGGTGGCCTGTCTGGGGGTCTTAGCATCACATACAGAGCTGTTATATTCCTTACGTTACCAAACAAACCTTGTTGCAGCTGCTCTGTTGCTTCCCTATCAGTGGGGTGTCTAGAATAGAGAAGGGCAATAAAGGATGCAGATAAACTTTTTCCTTTTTAGAGCAGTGACTTTGTTCCTTTTAGCTGTTACCATATTCACTTGAATCTAAGATGAGGTTTTTCCCTCCCCAATCAGCATGGGGAGGAAAAAGGCCCTTGTCTTAGCTTTGCATACAAAGTGGGGTGGGAAGGCAGGTGTCTGCTGTGGCTCTGACTGCCCTGAGCTCGGGTCAGGCCCAGAGTCGGATCCATAGCAGCCACCTGTTTGTGCCCCGCCCCCGATTAGTGTCAGGCACAACTCAACTCTAGCTCAAGCTGGATTTTGTCCTGGGCACGGAGTACATGGAAGCCCTGTCCTCTGACCAGTCAGTCAGTAGTGTCTGCTCTTCTACATGCTGTGCTCTGGGGATGGAAGACAGCATCATCTGACAGTAAGGGGTGGGGGAGGTAAAGATGAGAAGGGAAGTGGTGGGGAAAGAAGTAGAGATGGGGAATGCAGGTGGGTAGAAGAGGCAGGGTGTGGTGGGGGAGTGTGGTGGGGAAAGAGGCAGATGCTGGAGTGGGGCAGAGGCTGTTGGGAACTAGTGGTTGGGGATGTAGGTTGCAGGGGGCACAGGAAGGCTGCAGGGGGAAGTGGGGAAGGGCAAGAAGGCCATCTGACCACATCCCCAGCCACCTGACCCTTGGAGCCACTGCTTTCCTTGCTACAGTAATGGGAGGGGGATGAATTCAAGACCAGCCCTCCAATACGTAGATTCTGTACCTAGAAAACGATAACAAATTAAATTTTTTCCCATATATAGAATCTAATTATTGGGGGGTCATCTTAAATTCAGGGTCATCTTAGATTCAAGTAAATAGGGTAGGTCAGTTGATCACTTTTGGTTGGTTGGATTGGGAACTGAAAAAGTTTGTGTGCCGCTCCCAAGCAGCTGTGCTCACTCAAGAGTTTCCATCAGAATCATATTTTCATACCCTTGTTTGCAAGTGTATAGTAGAGTGAAAATATTTCTCACTTGGAAAAAAGTTAAACCTTCGTGTTTATCAGCAAAATAGCACATACATTTAGGTATAATGCTGATTTTTCTGTTGTTTGAAACATAATAAAATTTACTAAAATAATTTAATAAAAGCTTTAAAACATGTTTAATCAGTTACCCGTGAATAAATAACATTAACTGTAGCTTCAAAGTTCTGTGTATATGATTTGGAGATCACTGTCTTGTTTTGCTTTTTCATTTTTAAGAAAGAATCATTTTTATCTTTTTAAGAGTTTTATCAAATATTTTCTAAAGTAACCATTTGATTTTTAACTAACTTTGTAGGTTAAATTTGTCTAAAATTTGCCCTGGAATAGTGTTTAATAGAGTGTTAATTTTTAAAAAGACCAACCCCATTGGAAAGAGAGTTGACTCACGCTGGTGTCTTAAGGATATGGTTGCAAGGATAATGCAGAAATAATTTCTAACTATGAAGTATTAAGGGGGGGGTGGGGAACCATGAAGAGGAGCATTGTAGTTAAAATTGCCAAGATTTTATGGAGTAGTCTTATGATGGAGGGTTTGGGAAACAAGGTGGGGTAAATTTCACCTGGGGGAGTAAGTGTTATTGAAGGTGATTGAGGAAGGAAGTGATTCTGCTTTGCATTGCAAAAATTGACAGTGTGATGTCTAAGATTGTTTCTTAGTTAAAGTCCTTTTAATAATGGAATCACTGTGTCTGTGATGTCCCTTACTTGTTTATCATTAAGTAAATACTGTAGTTTTATTGGTAAAAGTTAAGACAGGAAATGGCATAAAATAATTTGTTGTCCTGTTCCTTTAGCAGAGCTCTCTGCTCTTAAGTATTTTACTTCGTTGCTTTTGTTTTTCTAGCTTTCAGGCCAGAACGGGCAAACTAGGTTGGGGAGGGACCCTCAAATAAATAAGCCTTGTTTATGCTGTGCCACCATGAAGGAAGACCCACAGCACCACTTATGTCCTGTTGTCATTTTGTTCCAATTCAGTGTGTGGTTGGTGGGTGCAATGCCAGCTTTGCATCTCAGGGAGGACTAGCTCGTCATGTGCCCACACACTTCAGCCAGCAGAATTCTTCAAAAGTTGCCAACCAGCCAAAGGCCAAAGAGGAATCTCCTTCTAAAGCTGGAATGAACAAAAGAAGGAAATTAAAGAATAAAAGACGACGTTCATTACGTAAGTATTTCCATAGTTGGAAGTTTTTTAAGTAGCTGTACAGTTTGACCTCTCAGACCATATTATGTTCCTTTTTTTTTTTCCTTCTGCCCCAGTACTTCTGCTTGCTCCCACCTGTAGTATTGAGATTTGAAACTGAAAAATTATGGATGTTTAAGATTTTACAATGACCTGGTAGTGAGGCATTATAAGTGCAGTTGGGAAGAAGGGGAAAATTTGGGGGAAAATGTTCTAAAGAGAAAATAAATATGAAGCCTATTCCAATCATGCAGTTGGCCCACTAAAGTATATCACCCACAAAAATCCTTGCCTCTTACAATGGTGAAGCACATACATTTGTTCCAAGGGGGGCATAAGTTTTATGAAGGTGAACTATAAAACCATGACCAAATTTAAATTCACTTATGTGTAAATCATTAGCTGCGATTTCAATATGGGAATAAGGGTGAAAAGTTTATATAGAATGCTTTTGTCTACCAATTCACACTCTTCCAGGTTTGTAATTCAGTTCACAACTAAAAAAGAACCTTTCTGTTTTAGAATTTGGTGTGGAAGTATGGATATTTAATTTGATCAATACACCATTTTGTTGAAAGTTTACATAAACGTTGCCTAGGTCATATAATGTACCATGTTTCTTGGTGATGCTTGAGAGTAGTTTTATAGTAGTTGCTATATTTACTCAACTATAAGACCCCTCCCCAATAATTAGTTTCTATGTATTGAAAAATTATCAATCTTTAGAATTTTTCTAGTCTAATTATTGGAAATAGGCCCTGACATTACCCCCTTCCCACTGCTATAGCAGGGAAAATAAATAAGGGGGGGAGAGTGGGTCAGGTGAACCCCTTGCTCCCGTAAACCTCTTCCTCTTAGAGGTGCCCTTCTCCTTCCCTCCTAGTGTCAGACCCTGGTCTTCCTGAACACATGAAGCGAGGAGCAAATTTGCAAACACTGACCTTGAAATCAACATGGTCATAGAAATTTGCATATACTACCCATAGACCTAGTTCATCCAGAGTTGATGCATATTATCTTTTCTAAATTGCTGGTGCTCCACAAATAAATTTTTAAGCAGCACTCTTATAAGTAGGTATATGTAATATAAACTATGCATAATATTAGTCCAAAGCCAAAAGGCTCCTGATCTACCATATAATTTATTGGGCTGGGCCCCAGCAGAACTAACAGCATTTCAAGCCATGGTGACCCCACAGCTTAGTACTGCTCAATATGTGCGTTTACTACAGATGCCACCTGCCATAAAGGATCCATGTGCTAATTAGCCCCCCACTCATGACTGGAACTGGGTGTTCTTGTTAGGAGTCCTGGGATGCTCAAAAAAATTATGCTGATGTGGTGCAAGGCAACCTGGTCTGGCTGCACTTGATGGAGGGTGAGGCCGCATTAATCATATGTGACAGTCTGAGAGAGGCAGTGACAGATTCTGGGTGAGTTGTTTGGGTCCCCATCTGTTGATGTCTGCCAGACATTTTAGGTTGATGAGGAAACAGGAATCATTAGAAATGGAAAAGAAAGGTGCAGCTCAGCTGTGGGAGCAAAGAGGAAGTGGAAATGAATTCAGTGTAGTGGCTCACCATGACCTGAAAAAGAGTTGGTGCTGAGGGGGACTGCAGTCATTCGGCACTACCATATATCCTTTTCTGATAGGCTGCGCTAACCTGTCCTTGTGATAGGTTTCCATTAGTATCTCAGCCTTTTGGCTAAGATTAAATGTAGCACTTTTTGGCATCAAGGGGATGGTGTCAGGGCTGGCTTTGGCCTTCCTGGCCTTGGCCAGGTATTGCACTACTTCCAGGTTTGGTGCCAGTTCCCTGTGGAGGGAACATCTATCCGTGTTGTGTTTTGGGGTTTTTTTGGTTTTTTTAAGGGCCATAATATATTAAAAAAAAAGAGGAGGGGAGGGGGGAATGTGATTGCCATTAGCATGGTTGCCCTATAAGGGCCATATAGTCATATTCGGTGTTGGCTGCATTTAAATCAGATTCAGAGTTAGCTTCCGTGACTGAGTAACATGCTGCTTTTGCCAGAAGTTTTAATGATAGTGCATTTATTGAAGTTTGCTTGTATGCAAATGTAAGATGAAGGGCTTTTTTCTCCTCGCTGGGTTGGGAGAAGGTGGGGGAGACGGAGGGGTGGATGGATGGAGAGTTCATCTTGTATTTGAGTAAATACGGTAAATTATTTTAGGTGTTATCTTCAGTATGACAAAATCCAGTAGACTAGTTTCTGGCTCAGTCTTTTGATGTGTGACTTCATGAGCAACTCTTCTGCTGCGCCCCCTTCTTTCACAGTAAATATTATGGAAATTTTAAATAGTTGTGTCTCTCACCTCTACTTCAGATTTTTTTAGGCTTTATCTGGTTTACATTTTTGTAGAAAGAAAGCACAGTTGCATGATCATTTGCAGTTTAATACCTCATGAGACAAATGGAGAATGAACCATATGGCTTTGCTGTAGGGCAAAAATTCTGTCTAATTGAGCTGGCTCTTTTGATGTACTTTTCCAGAAGCACCATGTCCCTAAATATATCCAAAGTTGATGCCATTTTCAGAAATTGTTATGTCTTTAAAACTTTCTTCATAAGTTGGAAATGTCATTGAACTCTTTGGAATCAGGTAGACTTTTCAAAGGTTTTTCTTTTCATGCATCTTGCTGTTTCTCCATTTTATTTACAGTAATGCAAAGAACCTATAGTAAAGTGTGTAAAAAATTATTTTTTTTAGTGAAATACACACAAAAAAATTGGGCCATAACCACACCCCAAAAAACAAACAAACAAAAAAAAGCAAAGAGAATTATCAGAACTTTGTCTAAATGTAAATTCATGATGCAACTCTAAATCTGTGTTTCAGCACTTTAATAAGTGGCCAGAGTTTCAGAGGCGTTGAACTTCTGTTGATCTCTGTGCAAAGCAAGTTATAATAAATTATCTGTCAAAAAGGAAAAGAAATACCCTGACATGCAGTTTTCTGAGGTCACAGATAAATTTCTTTTTTCCAAAAAAAGACGTTTACTAAAATACTTCATTTACTCCTACTTAATCTCATGATTCTGTCTTCACCTGGTTTTTGGTTATCTAAAGTAGAAGTGGCTAACTGAACGTTGATTTGTTCCTGATTCCTTACACGCGTGGTCATTCAAATGTCCTCATGTATAGATCTGTGAAACTCAAAGTTATCGGAATAGCAAGGCTGTTGCCTGCTCAGTCCCAGGAAAATATCCTTTTGATGATCAGTATTCATGTGAGAGAGTTTAAGAATGGCATGTTGCCAACATAGAAAATAAGCCAACAGTATAAACTGTTTCAGTCCAGTAAGTTAAAATATAATAGTTTTCTCAACCAAACATTCAAGTAAAATTTTGCTTTTGTGTCTTCCTGTTCATGAATGTTATGTGCATTTTTGCAGTTGAACCCAGTGTTTTGGTAAACTGATTTTTTCTTTCTTTTGTCTTAGACACCTTGGTAGCTAAAAATGCCTGCTGTCCTGTGGAAATTGTTTGACCTTGTTGCTATAATCCTTAAGAAAATAATTTCAATCCTCATTTTCCCAGCTATAATTTCTGCTACTATAGACACTTTGTAATTCTGTCTTCCTAACATGTTTGGAGGCTTCCAGCCAAATATTTTAAAAGTGGATTTCAGCTTTGCACCATCAACTTAAGAAGAGCTTACAATGCTGTGTTTTTTGGGCGGGATTGCTTCATGTTTTCTGAAGAATCTAGGCTTTCATTTTCAAAAATGTTTCTTGCCTTTGCAGTTGCACAAGATAACATTACACCTAGTAACAGCCATAGTAAAGTTTACTAAATGTAATATCATAAAGGAGTGTAACCTTCATAAGACTCCAAATGAGAATCTTAATTGCATGAACTACAATATTTTGTCTAGTAGATTCTAGCAAAAGATGCGATATGCTTGCCTTTGGTGGCTCAAGTGTACACAAAACTTGTGACATGAAGGATAGAAGTACTTAGGACTTAGCTGTGCTTCTGGTGTTAAGGGGTAAATATTCGATGCACAGGAATAAGTTTAGTGTTAACACATGAAGACAGAAAAATGTGATTGGCAAGGTTGTTTGGGCACGTGATATTTTTTTATTAGACCGACTGAGTAGTTGGGGGAAAAAGTTCTTTGCAAGCTTTCAGGTACAGTTACCCTTCTGCAGGCGTAGGGAGTATCCTCCTTCTGCAGAGACTCCTCTGAAGAAGGATGCTTATGCCCGAAAGCTTGCAAAGAACTTTTTTCCAACTACTCAGTTGCTCTAATAACAGATACCACATCTTCCCAAAGAACCTTGCCTGTCTGTTCCTTAGACCAACATGGCTACAACCAAAAACCCACAAAAAGGTGATTCACACTTCTTGATCTCTCTTTTGCATCTTTTGGGATGTTACACTGTAGTAAAATCTGTGCTTACCTTCTGTATAAAAGGTGAAGCAAAATTTTAGGAGTGCCCTCTCTCCTCTTTCCCCCATCACCTGCCAAAAGTGGGAGTGACTTGGTTCTATGTACAGGGTGGGAGGCAGACATGGCACAGCTCAAACCCTCCAGGGGCTGTCCAGGAGGGTTTTAACCTCCCCCTTTCTGCCTTGTCCTCTTGACCAGGTGATTGGCAGGACTGGCTAGGGCAGGGGCTCCTTTTACAAGCTGCAGGCTGGAACAACCTGGCTTGGGTCTAACGTGGGTCAGAGGATTTTCCCTGTTCCATAGCTGGGAAATGTGGGTCTGGAAGAAGCATCATGATCATGGACACAGGCTGCCTGGGCCCAATTTGGCTGCTGAAGTCTCCAGCCACCTGTGTACTGCCAAAACCACCCAGCTTCTGTTGGACCAAAGCTGGGAGGGTGGAAAGAAGCAGCAGCAGTGTGGTTGTGCCTGGAAGTTGCCTTTTTCCTGACACAGCTCCTTACTGCCTGGCCCCAGCCTAGGCACAGGCAAAGTCCTCTAGCTTTGTGGGTTGGATCCAGTGGCTCTATAGGCTGTATGTTGTTGACCCTCGTTGTAGGGTTTGCTGTGTCCCAGTCTCATTTCCCTGGTTCTGTTCAAGGGGAAAGGTAATGACGCAGACAGTAGGCTCCCGCAAGGGCTCCTTGACAGCTTGTTGCTGAGTGAGCCATCAGAGAGCTAGCACTCTTCCATTCTCCTTGGAAGTGTGGGGTGGGGAGTGGAGGACTGTGGCGTAATGGGGCTCCTTAAGGCCCTGATAATAAGCATAAGACGGTCATTAGAGGTGGCAGTAGAAACTTCTCTCTCTGAAGAAGTTCCTGTTTGTTAGTGCTGTCACTTATTCACAGAAGACCTGGTTTTCTTTCATAAGAAGACTTTAATTCTTGTCGCTACCTTTTGTGCCAGGAGAAGGGCATTTCTCCCAGCACAAATGCAATGCCTGTTCATAGCCTGAGCCTCTTCGTGTTGGAGCAGAGTTCCTCAAAGCCAGGTTGCGTTGCCTAGTAGGGGTTGGGACACATGGTTTTGACCTACCATTAGGAGTTTTCCTGTCTGTATTTATGATCCCTACTTTGAGGCAGCCACAAGGTGGCTCTGTTGTTATAAATATACTTAATGAGAGAAAGGACACCTTGAAATTTCTAAAACAAAAGGTTGTTGGTCAGTGTTGTTCACTGAAAACAAGAGTTAGATATTAAGTGAAGCTCACAACCATGTTTTTGTGACAGTGGATTTAGCATATATCGAGGAGTGGCACTTGATCTGTGTGAATCGATCAGTAAACTTTAAAAACAAATTCTGCAGAACTGCATTTTGCGCTTCAGAGTAAAGGACTCCAGGTTACTGGATCAGAGAAGGAAGAAGTGGGTGGTTGTGAGGTTCTGAGGCAGAAGAAATGTAAAGAATTCCTGCAGGAAATGATTTACTTGGGTATCTACATTAATGTTATAGATTTTTTTTTTTAAGCCCAAGTTTTCCTTGATGTGGTATTTTACACTAGTTTTATCCTTTCAAAAGTTGTGTGTTACGTTACAGAAAGTGGCTGCTAAAGTTAGTTCAGGTACAAAGCTAAACCTTTGTGCTAAAACAAAGGTATGTACTACAACACAACAGAATTGCACTCTATATAATGACTAGCTTCAGTAGCCCTACAAATAATACAGTATAACTTCAGATGATCTGTTTGCAGCAGGAAAGCATTTACAAGCAATATTGCCTGACTTGCAGTATTGAATTCTGAGAAAACAAGTACAGAACATCCTGTACAGACTAATGTATTAATTGGTTCCCAAAGTATAGCAAAGCTTTGTATGAAGTCTTTAAAGACTTCAGACAAGTTTTAAAACACTTCGCCTTGTAGAACTATTTAAAAATACTTGATAGCTAATCTTTTCTGGAGAGGAAGAAGAGTAGAAGCTGTTAAAAAAAAACAAACAAACTTTTTTTCAGTTTGCATGGTAATAACTCAGGTCTTTGGACTAGCCTTTACATATTTCAGGAGTGACAGAAAATTAATTACAGGCAGCACTGAACAATTACATTAATCTAGAACACAGAGTAAAAGGATGAATTTTCTTGAAACTGACACTATTAGCAGCATATCTTAACTGTACATAATGTAGACTTAATTATACAATAAGTGTTCATTAAAATTTTAACTTGGCTATATTTCTGCCAGGGTATGATCAGGGTATATTTTGTATTTAACTCTACTTACTTTTCAACTAAATGCACATTTCCAAAGCTCTTAAAAACAGTGTAGATACAGTATTATTAGTAAGCCTCAGGTTACACTATACACAGCTTTTTACTTTTATTTCTGGAAACATTTACAATTAAGGTCCATCTCAACCTATAAAAGGTTTTCAGTGCCTTAGACAAGCCACTTCCATTGGCTCATCATGTTACTGCTTACAAACTGATTTTACAGTACAAGAAGGATTTTAATTCCACTTCAGCTGAAAGTAAGTTAAAACTCAAGATCTGACAGAACAACTGGCAGATGTTCATCTTAATTTCAACACTTATCACGTAATATAAAAGGTATTTATTGTTGATAGCCAATACCCCAATGTTAATTTTGCCTTTTATTCTTTGTGTTTTAAAAAGCATGTGATAAATACCTGGATTTTAAAAAGCATGCTATTATGTACAGTAATCCACAGATTAACCCTTTGATTGGAAGATGGAATTCCTTGGCATTTACTCCTGCCTTTTACTTGGTAGTACAGTGTTTCTGTTCTACTTTGAGCACTATTTCAATTAGTTATTTTTAACATAGCAATTTGAGTAACAGTGGTTAAACTGGTTTTAATTTTAATTTAAGGGGACCTCTAGTGGGATTCCCTTCCTGATTTCATTTGGCTTTATCCAGTTTTGCTTCAAAACCATTCTTTACAGCACGCCAGTAGATACCTATAGAAATATTAATGATTTTTCTGTTGGTAATAATAAAATGACAGGTGACTTCAAATACCATCCCAGCCACATGTTAAATCTGAATGGTGCTATTTTGGTATGTTAAAAATACAAGGAGCTATATTTTAAAACTACTCTGAACTAATTTATAACATCTCTAGTAGATCAGCCCACAGATTGGCCTTGTGCAGCATATCCAGTGCACAGGGCCAGGCTGGAATGGGCACCATATGTATGTAGTGCTGCAGTCGGCATGCAAGACTAGTCCACTAGCACATAGGGCTAGTCTGGGGTACAGCTGGTCTGGCACAGGCACTACATGCAGCATGAATTTTGGACTGCCCCTGTATTTTGCATGCACAGCTACTGTAGCCCTGTGCCCCAGACTGGCTCTGTGCACCACATGCAGAGACGCATAGGCAGTACTTCAGGCCAAATCATAGGGTTCCATGGGTCATATCTGACACCCCTGGTCTAGAAGAGTAAGGTAGTACATGTTCACAGTGGTGTTGTGGGCAGTTTCTGGGACAGCATTTGTAGTACTGTTGAAATACTTGTTTGTTAAAAAGGAATTGATCAGTTTCTGAGGAGCAGGGCTCTGTTCATAAAAGAAATTGCAACACTTGCAGTACTTATCAGTGAGAATTGCTGAATCTTTCAAGATTTTTATATTGAAAGTTATCCAGTAAGATAATGCTCAACAACAATTTAAATAGAGGAGGAGTTGCATTAGATTTAATGTGTACCTGGTGCTCAAAGTAGGGCTTGTGGGCCACTTCTGCCCCACTGTCAAATTTCTGCACCCATGGAGAGCCTCACCAGCCAGTTGACATGACCCCAGTTGCTGGATTGAGCCTGAGCACCAGACCAGTCCACAGCTGGACCAAGTGTGTAGGGGTTGATCCTGGAGAGCACCATGAGACACCATAGGTCCCATCCAGTGTTAGGGGTTAGTCTGGTGTGCCAGTCCCGCATGCCAAATTTGGTTTGTGGGCCTGCTGTGCTCCATCATCTGGCCTGTGTATCTGAAAGGTTGGGCATCACTGGTTTAACGCATATGTTGTCCTTATGTCAAACATTTTAAAAAACCAAAACCAAAAAAGAACAACTCCTCTATTCTGAACGAACTTAAAGGGGTAATAGGACAACAGCCAGTTCTGAGGCCATGCCTCGTACTCAGAATTTAGAATGTGATGACAGGGCACCATGCATTCTGCATGGATGAACTTAACTGATTTGTCTAAAGACATTTAACAGACTTCTGATAAAAATATAAGGTTAAAGGTGTTTGGATGATTGCACCACCTCGGGAGTTTAATGCTAAGATTTGTTTTTTTTTCTAGCAAGACCACATGACTTCTTTGATGCACAAACACTGGATGCTATTCGACATCGAGCCATCTGCTTCAACCTCTCAGCTCACATAGAAAGTTTAGGAAAAGGTCACAGTGTTGTATTTCATAGTACTGTAAGTATTATATTGTCCTTATATTTATATATCTGCATCTGAACATGTAATTGCTTTATTGATATTCTAATTCTTACCTAAGTGATCACTGTGCTGCTGACATTAAAAAAATGATGATCATGCTTTTTACCTAATTGCTAACCATGCAAATCAAGAAATTAACTATTAAGCCACATTGGTAATAGTTATTGTAATCATATTTTTGCGTTGTAGATCTGAACATTTTTATAACTTTTCCTGCTAGGGGAACATACAGCTGTAGATTTGTAATGATGAAAAATGTACCTTCATTGTCTTCCAAGTTAAAATAAATAAATAAATAAATTGCTGGCTTCTTACTATGAATCCAAGTTGGTGATGTCATGTGGGATTTTTAAGGCTTAATATTAGAAAACAGAAAAGGATAACAGTGAGCATTAGAGAATATTAAGGTTCTTCATATAAGTTTAAAAAGCTTAATATTTAGTTTGAGGTTGGGAAGAATAAAAGGTATGTGCAGTTATCAAACACTATGGACTTTTAGTATATGTTGTACTAGGTATGGCTGATGGAAACACTACATATCAAGGCCTCTTTCCTTATACCAGATAAGGCCAAAATAAATTTAAATTTAATGTTGGCCATTTCCCATTAGCATACCAACAAAACACTGGTAAAACAGGGATTAAGTAGTAGACTGGATGTATTCCTCTCTATACTTTTTAAGAGTTGTGTTAGATAACTTGCAAAAATCTGTAGACAGGCTGGACTCATTAGAATACGGTGAGAAGAACAAGAAAATTTGCTACAAAAAACTGGGTGACAACATCCCAGTAATGATGAAGTAGAAGGTGTCAGCATTCTAAAAAGATTTATGCCTCTTTCTTGGGTGAGGTGATACTGATATGCCAAAGAGTCAAAGGCATAGATAAAGAGATGAGTTTTCAGTGGTGGGCTGCATGTTCTTTAACAATTTGTATGTGGAGTATAAGGGATTGTTCTTTTTTAATGTAATAACATTAATTGGATTAGTAGAAGGTTAACTGCCCTACTTAAATTTAGGGCGCGTTACCCTTGACCTAAGCTTCCAAACATAATGAATCCAGTCACCTTCCATTCATGAGGGTGAGGGTGGATTTGATTTAAATTGTGATTTAACTCACTGGTCAGGAAGCTCTGATCGTTGTTTTCTACAAAAAGTGCATTCTTGTTATTTGATATCCTTTATTCATTTAACTTCTTGCAACTTTGCATTTTTTAGAGAAAGGTAAGGGCTTGACTGTGTATACACAGTCTTGCAGAGAGACAAGAGGACTGATGGGTAGGTAATCGGGTGTGTTCTCTCTCATCTCCATATACTGCTGTTAACAAGGATGTTGTCTCTGGAGATACAAATCCGCAGTCCAGATCCACAGTTTGAGAACTGAAGCTAAGCATCACAGAGATGCTTAATGGGATCTTCTAGTCTGAGCACTGAGTCCCATTGGGTTGAGTGGTTTTCTTTAATCCTTACTAATCTATAGAGGAGCCTCTGAAACCCCATAAGATTGGGCCCCTAATACAGTCCACGGCATGTTGTGACCTATTTATAAAACCTTTTTAAAAAGGTTACATGAATAATATTGTCTCATAGTATATAATTAGAAGTTATAATCCTTATTCCATGATGATATCTTTGAGCTTTAACATATCTTAAATTAAAACTACCTTTATATAGCTTTAAAAAAATCTTTAAAAATCTGATTTAAATAAAAAAAAGTGTTGTTTTTTTTTTTTAATCGTTGATTTTTATCCACCCTGATGAGGGCACATACAAAAGGTATCTTAATATGCCTGAAATGTAAGATGTCTTTCTTTCTTAGAAGCCAGGGTATCTAGGCCTATTAGCTGTTGTGGCCTGTGCTAGAGTTGGTGACCTCTCTTCCTACCCAGTCTCAGCTTCAAGGAAACACCAGAGTTTCATTATATTTGCTTCAAGGAAACACCAGAGTTTCTCTGTTCATTGTGATTATTCTTATTTTAATTATCTCTAATTCTCAAGTTTTGAATTAACCAAGCCTTTCAGGCTGTTCAGAGAAAAATGGAAAATCGTCATAATTGATCGGTTCTTCTGGAGGGAAAAATGCTTTGCTTATACCTACCCCCACCACCTCTCCCAAACTTTTGCCCAGATCCATAGCAGATGTGGAAGCCCAACTCTGGCAACTAGAAAATCTTGTAAGGGGAGTAAAAGCAGGATGAGGTTTGGGCCCTAAAATTGTATCCTCGCTATGGATCTGGGAACAGTGGCCAAATGTGTTTTCTCAGTTCTTAAAGAATCTTCTACACACTTTTAAATCCATCCTTTTTTAACCAGGAAAATTTGTAAAGTTCTTGTGCTGTTCATGTATTTGCATGGCGCATAATACATTTTGTTTTTCTTTAAATACCACTTTAAAAATCCGTACAGAGTATTTGATTCTTTATGGTATATGATTCTTTATGGTAAAATGCTATCAGAATTAACTTCTGTTATAAAAGCATTCAAGCTACTATATTGACTGGCATATTTGGCAGAAATTGCTGCTACTTGTTTTGTAAATGCTTTGGGAACTGATGATTTTTTTCCTCTTGATCTTTTCTTGCCTAAACTCTGACTTGCTTTATTTATTGTCATTTTTCTATCTTGACATTTGGCTTCCCCTTTCTATTAAGCCAAGAGGAAAGTATCAAGCACATCCCATTTATGTTTGTGGCAGATGCTGATCTGTTTAAACTACAGTTTATAGTTTGTCGGTCTCAAATGATGCTTTTTACTATTTATGATTAGCTTTGAAATTTGATAGACTTGTCACCTTCTTAGAATATTGGAAAGTGATCTCTCAAAAGAAAGATTTGTGTGTTTTCATGGATTTCAGTTTCAGCTTACAGCAGCAGCAACTTTGGATACTATCATTGTTATATAAACTAGTTCTCTGGATTTCTGATTTTGAATATTGATATAAATTTTCCTGCCTTTGCAGGTGTTCTTAATTTTTATCTGTTAGAGGCAAAATACAAGTACAACATGCACAATTATCCTTCCTGGGTTTATTTCAGTGCTCTGTATCTTTGTTTTGCTAACCCTGCTAGTTCCACTTCCTATAACTATTACAAACTATTACAATTTTTTTAAAATGTTAAACAAATCTGTGAAACACAAGAAGTAAATTTGTTGCCAGACTTAAAAAATTTTTTTTTTTTAAGGATGAGGTTTTTCTCTTCTCCAGAAGAGGTCAGTAGAATTCCATTTACCAATAATAACCTATCCTAATTCTGAACTTGGAAATCTTACAGATGCACAGTACGGCATAGATAGATCTACATAAATTTACTTTATCTTTGTATCGAAATTCTTTTGTAAATGTGTGCATCTTACAGGTAGGAATAGGGTGTTTAAAAGAAGTAGCATATGTACCATATATATTGAAGTTGTTCATGTAAGTAAAAAGCTTCACATGATCACATGAATAAAATAAATTCAGTTTTAGAAATAATGCATCTTTTGTTCTTAAGATCTTCACAGCAGGACTATTACAGCAATGCAGCTTCTCCTTTTTTAGCTGTATGTAGTTTTGCAAGCATGGGTCACATTCATTCTGTTTGCTAATATCACAGTAGCTGTTCTACATGTTCTCCCATGCCCGTGAGCTCTAACCCTGGTCTTCAGGAAAGTCAGAATTACTAAATACCAGTGTTGCACCAATTGCAACAGTTAGAGTAGATTGTTAAATTGTTCGAGGCAAGCTACTGAAATTTCAAATTGGAAGATCTTATAGGTTGCTGTTTTAGGGGGAAAAGGGAATTGGTCAGTTTGGTTAGGACTTTAGGGGGCAAGAATTATTCAAAAAGATCTTGCGAGTCACATTAATGTTGACAGAAACATTCTTAACACAGATACAGGTAGAGAACTTGTCACCCTCAAAACTGACAAGTGCAAGGTGCTGTACCTGGGGAGGGTCAACACTGACAAGTGCAAGGTGCTGTACCTGGGGAAGAAGAACCAGCAGCATACCTACAGGCTGGAGAACTCCCTTCTCATCTGTGCAGAGGCAGAATAGGGTTTTGGAATCATTATTGATGCCAAAATGAACATGGGCTGGCAGTGTGGGGACGTGGTCAGGACAGCCAACTGTACCTTGTCATGCATCCACAGATGCATCTCGAGCAGGTCCAAGGTGGTGATCCTCCCCCTCTATGCGACACTGGTCAGGCCGCAGTTGGAGTACTGCATCGCACTTCAGGAGGGATGTGGACACCTTCGAGCGGGTCCAGAGGAGGGCCACTCGCATGATCAGGGGGCAGCAGGGCAGGCCCTACGAGGAGAGGCCAAGGGACCTGAACCTGTTCAGCCTCCACAAGAGAAGGCTGAGGGGGGGGACCTAGTGGCCTGTTACAAACTAGTCAGAGGGGACCAGCAGGCATTGGGGGAGTCCATGTTCCCCCAAGCACTACCAGGAGTGACTAGAAATAACAGTCACAAGCTGGCAGAGGGTAGATTCAGACTATACATCAGGAGGCGCTACTTCACAGTCAGGGCGGCTAGGATCTGGAACCAACTTCCAAGAGAAGTGGTGCTGGCTCCTATCCTGGGGGTCTTTAAGAGAAGGTTAGACGAACACCTTGCTAGGGTAGTTTGACCCCAGTACTTTTTCCTTCCATGACAGGGGGTCGGACTTGATGATCTGCTCAGGTCCCTTCCGACCCTACTAACTATGAAACTATAAACCAAGTAGTTAATTCTTCAGTTCCCTGTTAGAATACTGAGTAATCCATGTCCAGTAAATATAGGAGAAGCTAGTGGTACAAAATAAAAGGCATTACATTTTAAAAACAGATACTTTTTTTTTAAATACTTTGGTCTCTTTAGGAAGACGTGGGGGGGGGGTTTTGTGGATTTTTATATATATATATAGAGAGAGAGAGAGACTTGTGAATTCATAAGCGTAAAGGACTCTTAAGAACCAAAAACTAAAGAGTGATATTCACTTTGGCATAAAATAATGTACCTGAATGTACTGGATTCCTGAAACTTCCTTCATATTACAGGTGATGATGACCTTCGTCACTTTTGAAAAATCTTGATCTTTCGTTAATTCAGTTGTCTTTTTCTTCTGTTCATTGTTTGTTTGCTACCCCTGGGAATTTCTCTTTTGCAATTTCATGCTGTTTTTAATCATTACTACTATGCTTGCTGCTTTCTTCAGACCTCATAAAAATGTCTTATTCTAACCATGCTGAATTTTGTCCAAGAAGTTATCATCCACAAAAATGTTTGCCCCTTATAATTCTTGTACCATCACAGCATTGCTCCAGCGCTACCAAAACATGGAATTTGCTTGAGAGATGTATTTTATAGAAGGGTCCCAATATGACCCATGTCTATTGCATGTAAAGGGAAAAGGAGCTCATGGAGCTCATATGCCTTAAAGCAAATGAGACTGGTAATCCCCAAATCTAGAATGCTGGGAAACCTGGGGACATGCCCCAAGAAAACAAACAAGTGATAGGTTCTCACTACTTGGTGAGTTGGGGAAGTAATCTGAAACCTCTGAATCTAGGAGAGGAGCTGTAGATACAGGGTAGATGGAAACTTACCTTGACTTGTGGATAATACCAGGGGGTATGAACACATGTACATCTAGTGTTTCAAAAGGGCAACAGCTGTTAGGTTCAGATTGTTACCAGATTGTTATGTGCCAGCAAACGAATGTAGCAAAACAGTCCAGTAGCAGGCAGAAAGCACACCCTCGCAAGAAGCAAAATACCATTCCCTTGCTTTTTACCACCAATTGTCTTAAGAGCTACTGCAGATATGTGGAGGATGTAAAATGAATACTTAACATGCTGCTGCCTTTTCTTTGCTAGATGCCAGTGGTCCATGTTGCCAGTGATTTTTAACTGGTTGGCCCTCTCTGCCCCACAACCCTATGCACTTATTTCCCTTCATATACTTTCATCTGAAATGAGGAATGTTTATTCTTTCTTGCTATCATGGAATGTAGTACAAGTAAGTATTAGAAATTATCTCTGCTGGACATGCAATCTAGTTTCCCACAATACCCAGCCCTAGTTCACCTTCCTTGTCCATTTTCATGAGACGTTTCTTACACAGGATTTTGTGTCTTTTCTCCAGTTGGGACAGTAAAACCTGTACTTCCCCAACACAGGGAAATGTTTTACGATATAAATTATTTGTGCTCAAGGAAAGAAATGCAACTTAGGTGTCCAGTATAAGTTCTTCAAGATGCATCCCTTTTATCTGCTTCGCTGTCTAGCATCACTCCACACTTCTTTGAATTCCTGTGCACTACATATTACAAAAGCCCACACCCTGAGGCTGTAATACAATTCATCTTGGAAGTGGTCTCTCTCCAGTCTTCACACAGCGGTTTGAAATCTGTTGTGTATCTCAAGTTGACAATGTTAACTATGTTTATCTGAGGACAGGGGAGTTGGGAATAGGCCTTTCTCTAATAGTGTCTTTGACTCTGGTGTTTGCTTCTTTCCTTTCGTCCTTAGGTCTGAGTTTGACTTCTCAGACATACCGTGTTATGTTTCTATTTTCCCAATGTAGATTGAGTTAACTTGCCTTATATGACTGTTTTAAATTATTCCCTCTGGTAAGTGTTTTGCTGATGGAATTCTCTGTTCAAAAATACATTCTACTGGGGTTCCTCTCTAAATTACTATGAAACATAATAGCAAAATACAAAAAGTGAAGATACTATTTAAATGTACATAGTAATGCAAACTGACTTCAATGTCACAGATTTAAAAAATATGGTAGGCATTTAATTTAAGAAAACCAACCCGATTCCAAGTATTGAGGTTCAAGGCTACAATTGCTGCTTAAGTTTACAGCATATTAAAGCCTGGATTCTAATTCATGCAAGAACTAAGTCACAAGGGGGTATCACATTCATTCTGTTTTGATAGTGATTTCTAGCCAGTAGTCTTAATAAAAATATTTAAAGTAATACTAAATTTCTGAAACTGTCATATTTTATTGCAGAATATTAATATTAAACAGTCTTTCTGCACAGGTCACATTCACTGGACAGTGCAAGTTTTTGTTTCTCGGTTCTTTGGGATTCTGTAAAACGTTGCATAACATTTAAACAGTGGTCACGTTCTTCAGTCGTTCCTTCTAGCACAGATAGTACAAGGGAGCCAGAAACTGAATTAAATGGTTATTAGATACATTCCCTTACAACAAAATGGAGCTTACCTTTGACATATGTTCAGTGCTAGTGGTGCTTGTTAGGTGTATACTTATGAGGAAAGCAGAGGTAATAATGAACTTTACTACAGTAACCTTCCACTGGCATAAAGACCTAAATTTATTTAGGTCTTATTTAAGAGACCTGTAACTAACATCGCTGCTGAGTCAGTTAGCCCTGGTGATCTGCCATTTTTCAGCAGAGTTCAGATGCGGTGAACTTAAATCCCATATTTTACAACTGAGAGAAGGAACTATTGCCTCTCAAACCATGATGCAATTACCCAGCACTGTATTAGATCACCAGTTCTCAAACTTTTTAGACTCAAGGCACCTCTTGTTAAACTCGAGGCACACTTTGACAATGCCAGCTTATAACTTTCACTGGTTTCTTGAGGACAGGAAAATATAATAATTTTTCTGTTGCAAAGACCTCGGACCACGAAAGGTCAGACCGTTTTTGACACTATGGATTCCTATTTGAAATCTCTGAGTTTCATGTGAATCATATGTAGGTGTTTTCAGAAGGTTCCACAGCACCCTGGTTGAGAATCACTGTATTAGACAGTTTTCCTTGCAGTGGGTACATCTACACATTCAGTTCGGGTGATGTGATAAACTCTAGCTCAGTTCACACTGTAGTCAGCTGCTCCCAGGCACAGTGTTTATACATGTGCCCAAGACTGCAGCACATTGAGCCCAGGGCAGAGGAGCTCTGGACTGGCAGGGAGTCTTGGGGGTCAGCCCTAGGTTCTGGGTGGCAACTTTGGGTGCCAGAGGGGCTGGCTGGGGCATGAGGGTGCTACAGTGCAGGGCTAGTTGGCAGCCAGCAGCATTTGAGCGCACACAATTACTCGAGGACAGTACTATCCTACAGTGGACTTAATTAATTTACTGCACCCTAATACTGGCACACACACACATATATAGACTGTGACACTTGACTGCAGACCTAATTAGTCAGCTCCAAAATAAAGTGCGCATGTAGATTCTTGCAGTGTGTCTTTTTCTGCCCCCCCTCCTCTGTTGCCCTAAGTCTCTTAGTATTAACATTTGAAGTGTGCTGTCTTCCCAGTGAGTGTTTTACCAACTTCCTCCTATATTTCTCAGGTTTATGGAATTATGTTGGGAACTTCACAAAGGGGATGATGTATCTGTCTATAAACTCACTTGGGGGGGGACCACCAGGGTTTGGGAGAGACCCTGTTCCCCCTAGTGCCCGCCCAGTCAGGGTGGCTAGGATCTGGAACCAACTTCCAAGGGAAGTGGTGTGCGCTCCTACTCTGGGGGTCTTTAAGAGGAGGCTTGATGTCTACCTGGCTGGGGTCATTTGAGCCCAGTTTTCTCTCTTGCCCAGGGCAGGGGTTGGGACTTGATGATTTACAAGGTCCCTTCTGACCCTACTTCTATGAATCGATTTGGCATTTGATTTGGCATTTAATTAATGATCACTGCCATCCTTAATAGTTACTGGTATAAAAAGATTACATCAGTCTCTTTCTAACCTGGTGATTTCTGTTGGTAGCTGCTAGTGCTTCTGCATGGGTGTTAAGCCAGCTGTGTGAATAAGTAATTCACCTTTCACAATCCTTGGACAGAGACTCTCCTATCTCCGTAATTAAGATTAGTAAAACTGAAGCCAGCACTGGACTCTCAGGTGCTGAACACCTACAGTCAGAAGCAGCCCCTTCCTGAGGATGGCCAGTGCCCAGTTTAGGGGAAGAGGCAGGGAACAGCAATTTCCTTCCCCTCTCTGGACTGGTCTGGGAGAGCAGAGGAGGGGAACAGCAAGGTCCTGTGTTATGACTCCTTTCCCAGAGTTTTCTAATTATTCACCAGTAACCGTCTAACATAAAATGTATAAACAGTTTCAGATGAGCCGTATCAAATCCTTTGCCCTCCAATATTTAGTAAAGTATCATGTGCGTGTTTGTGAATGAAATCAGTGTTTTTTACTTACGAATTAAAAAAAAAAAATTAAGAGTTTATTTCTAGATTTATTAATTATTAAAGTTATGGGTTTTTAAGTGTTTAATTTTAGAAAGTTTGAAAGTTATTTGGGATGTATCTGAATATATTATTATTCAGTGGTTATTTAATATGTCAATGATAAAATCTTAAAGGAAGACTTAACCTAGTAGTACCACTTCATTAAAGAACCGTACTGTTGTAAGCTCATACACTACTTCAGTACCTGTTTGTGGATCTCGTACATACTTCAGGTAGTAAAGCAGTTACACTTGCCCAATGAATTATTTGGGAATGAAGCCTAGTAAGGCATATAAATATGACCATAAATTCTACAGGTTACATTTTTAATAATATTTACTGTTTTAACTATTAATATCAGGTAATAGCTAAGAGGAAAGAAGATTCTGGAAAAATAAAACTTTTGCTTCACTGGACACCAGAGGACATGTGAGTATATTGGTTGCCAATGATCTGATGCCACATTTGAGGGCTGAGCTGAAGGAAAAGATTGCAGAAAATATGTTGTTTGTCATGAATGTGTGCACAGCATTCCTTCTGAACACTTTTACAATAAATGTCTTGTGTAACTATCTTGACCTTTATGCAACTCAGAAGCATGCATTTTTGTTGCTTTCTGACACAGTAAAGGATAAAAGGTAGAGCTTGTAAACATAAAAGGTTTTGCTTCACATATTTCTTGAAATGATGGATTTTCAAAACCGCTTTTGTTTTTTCACTGTGGGTCATCTAATTCAGCATATTTCCAGTGCTGTGAATGTTAAAGAAGACCATCTAAAGTGGACACCCAAAAGTGTAATAATCAGTGCTTGTATACCAAGACTGTAAGAAACACAAAATAGGTGCTACAGTCTGTCAGTAGAATGACTGTGAAAGATGTCTTTTTGGTACTTTCAATTGAAAACCCACAAGACTGCTTTTTTGCATTCTTTTCTGCAAAAAAAAATCCCCCAAAACCCCATGCTGCTCTTAAGCTTTGATTTTTTTTTGCCCCCCCCCCCCCCGCATATTTGATTGAATTTTCTTTATATTTGGAATATTCTGTCAAATTTCAGATTACTACAGTTCTAGCTGAGTTGTGCAAAATGAGTTGTCATCCGCTTGAGTTAGGACAGAAGATACTGAAAGTTGTAAATATAAGTAAGCTTGTACATCCTTCAGTTTTCCAAACTGCTCTATTGAATGTATGTTAGAACTTATTACACTTATTTTCAAAAAAGAAAAGTTTCTGTGTACAAATATTATAATCCTAATTACAGTAAAAGTTCCATTATCCGGCACCGTACAAGCTGGCATGCTCTGTTTAACCGGCATGCCGGCTTGTAAGGCAAAGTGAAACAGGAAGTGCTCACCGTGGCACTTCCAGTTTCTCCGAGCCCCCACAGCCCAGGGCAGAGCAGCCTGTGCTGCCGAGCCCGCCATGGCCTGGGGGCATAACAGGCTGTGTGGGGCCCGCCTCCCTGGCCCACAGGCCCTGCGGGAGGGTCAGTGACATAACAGGAGAAGCGGTGGCCCGAACAGGCAAGGACGCCTGTTTGGAACACTCAATTAACTGGCATATTTTGTTATCCAGTATCCCCCATTCCCAGGGGATGCTGGGTAACAGAGCTTTTACTGTATATGGAAAAGTGGAATAATCCTTTGCCTTATGGAAAAGTAGAATATTCCTTGTTTTAACATTATTAGGAGAGCCATTAGGAGTGTAGTTTAGCCAATGTTGTGCAATCCACGGGGGTTTCCCACAAGCTTCCGAAGCAAATAAGCTCCTTTTTAAAAGCAACCCTAATTTGATGGAAATTAGTACATAAATTTGAAATTAGGCATGGATATTCAAGTTCAAATGTTATATTAATGAATTTTGCTATTTAAGAAAACAAGAATCATAATTAAATGTGCACTCAGTGACCTTTTCTGGAAGAGGGAAACTTTTTTAGGTACAGTGATACTTTGTAATCAAGCAGATTTGAATTAGAGGCTGATTTTGGCACTGGCAATGAGGACAGTATACAAACCTAAGTGTTTTAAAGCTTCATTAGCAGGCAGGGATGCACCATGTTCTGATGGACTAATTTAACTATTGAAATAGTTAGAATCCAAAAATAGCCATGTGCAAATCATGAACCCAGCAGTGTGGATCTACTATAATTGCTACCTTCAGAAGATGAGGATGGCCGGTAAGTTGTTTTTCCTGGTGTCCTTGACATTGGGGCTCAATTCCGCATCTGTGTAAATTTTAATCAGGAGATGAAAGAGTGGAGAATAATATTGTAGATGCCAGTGAAAGGTGTGATTTTTGTCACTCTTAGAAAATATACTATCACTAGATAATACCCTATAATAATAATGTGAATTTATGGTACTGTTACAGGTTTATTCTACAATGTTACCACTTTATGTAGTTATTCCTATTGCAGGCAAATGGTTATTTGGTTAACTGGTTTATAGCTGAAGGTTTTTAGTGTATTAGCATTAAAAGAAATTAGACTTAAATTGTAGTGTAACTGTGTTTCTTTTAGAAAATCAAATTGAATTTCAGTATTTTTTATGATAATCACCAAGACTTTCAAATTTATCTTTTAGTGATAAAGTATCTCAGATTAAGTTGGGCAACCCTTGATTTGATATCAGTACAAAGAACTTGAGAGCTGTTCAACTTAGAGGGATATATATTACATTAACCTGCTATTTTAGTAGATACACCTTTATTTTTAAGGCAGAGAAGCAGTATCTTCAAGTATCTTCAAGTACTTCAAGTATAATGGTTAGTTTAATTTGCTACTTGGGGTTAGTTTTATTACTTTAAAATTCTGACTACATAACCTAATTTCTGAGTTGATGACTCAGGATGTACTCTGTGTACAACTAATTACAGGAATGGATTTGGGGTTCAGAGGTGAAGATGTCTGTCATCCAGGGACACTAAAATGTAATACATTGAAATTTGAGAGAAGATAAACATGTGTTTGTGGTAAACTTACGTAATTCTGGACAGTTTGTTATCCTTCCGATAGGAGCTACTAGTTATTTCACTTTTGACATGATTTGTTAGGAGGTTATCCAAACCAATGCCAAATTAATTGTACATTAGATGTTATACTAGAAATCTTTCATGTCAATGATTTATATCTCAAATCCAATAAAATGTTTTGTGCTACTAAAAGGTTTTGGCTTTTAGTTTTACCAGTAATTTTAATTTTTCTTTTCTCCCCTTCCTACACAGCAAGCACTAAAAACTCTTGGGACAATCCAGGTCAGCAGTTGCTGTGGAAAAGGAGAGTTGCTAAAATAGCAGCTTTTTATAAAGGCTGTTATTATCCTGCTGTAGTCCATTACTTTTTTACCTACCTACCAGTCCTCCCACCACATAGCTGTACCAGAACTTTGAGAATCCAATTTATGGCTGGGGTGTATTCCTGGGCAAAATGGGACAGTCCTGGCTTCCATAGTCTTGTCCCAGCCAATTGGTCAGAAGTCCCAGAGTGGAGTCCGGTGGGGACACAGAGCAGCGTGGTGTGCCAGGCAAGTGAGAGGGCAGGCACCACTGCTGCTGGGCAGGAGCAAGGCAGACAGACTGGAGCAGGTGCCACCCTGGGACATACAGTCCACCTTACTTATGACCAAATGCGGCAGAAATATTGAGAGCCAGTTTTCAGTGGACTAGTACTGCAGAGTTTTAAGAACTGGACCAGTGTATTTTGTCAGTTGTTACCAGCTCTCCTCTCAGCCCCACCAGGCTTACATTGCTGAGTGTATAATAACCAGGTTTTACTGTGTTTCAATATAAGAATTGTCAGAAACTGAAAATTTTACTTGTAGGATATCTGTTCTTTTTTTCCAAAAAAAGAAATGTTTGTAACTTCAGGATTTCTGGTTCAGAAGTCACAAATTTGTACAAATGCGTCAAGCTTTAGTTTCATGATAATTAAACAGACAAATAATAAATTCATTAGCTCAGCATGACGCTCAGGGCATTTACCTGAAATTTACCTTATTCTTACCTAATCCTTGCAAACATTCTATTTTTATTATTTATTTTGACACTGCAAGTCCAATAAAATATATTTTCTTTGGTCCTTTCTCACTGTCCACCTTTTCTTGTTTAACAGTACCAAAGTTGGTAGTACTCTAGGTCCATTATATCTAAGGAACTTATACACCAACTTCCCTAGCAACTCTTTTGCACTGAAAAATTTAAGAGGCTTTGAATTTTAACATAACAATATGTCCTTTTTTCCGATGAGGATGCTTTTTGAAAAGTAAAATATGAAGATTGCATTAAAATGTTTCATGTATATTCATTTACCTCATAATTTTATGGTGAGAAAAAGGGTTTATCTTTTTTGAATATTTTTATTTTATTTATTTATTCATAGTCTGCCTGATGTGTGGGTAAATGAAAGTGAACGACATCAATTAAAAACTAAAGTAGTTCATTTATCAAAACTACCAAAAGATACTGCCTTGCTTCTGGACCCAAACATATACAGGTAAATTTTGAATCACTTTATTTAAAACAATCTTAAACCTCACTTAACTTTTTGACGTCAAAAGTCAGGATTGCTAATTGCTGATGCATCAGTACAGGGCTCTTCGACTCTGTCAGCGTCCAGAGGTTAAGTTCTGAGGTTTTAAATAATTTCAGAATTACTTCTTGAACTGATCTCTAGTTACTGAGAAACGGGGAATGTGTGTATTTACCAAGTGTATTTTACTTTTTTGTGCTTGGTGTACAGAAATTCTAGTAAAGGAGGTACATACAGTGGAATCCTGAAAGATCACTTCTGTTAAGATCACATACTGGTTTGTATACCAATTTTTTTAAAGTCCAAATTTATCTTTACATATATTATATTCAGCTGTAATACATGCAGTATTACTTTGACATCTGTACTTGCGTACAAGTACTATTCTTTTTTTAATGGAAAATTCATTAGAGAAGAAGGGGACAGTACATGCCACGTCTTTAAACCACATTCATAATTGTGTATTTAGGTCTTCAGAATGGCCTCTAATCCATCACATCTCTAATTTTTCCTGATTTTTTTTTTTTCCCCCCCCCCCTCTGTATTAGTGTATTCCACTTAATCCTGTCAATACCCACAATTGTATCAATATAATCTTTTTAAAGGTAATCTGAAATGCTTTTAATTTCCTCTTCAGATTGTTGAGGATTCCAAATTATTAGATGACTGTGTATGTATATAGACTGAATTACAGAAATACTTTAACAAATAGTAAACCCAGTCTTTCTCCATTTACCTGCCATGACCATAGTTCAGTGTTCTTGTGTTTCCTCTCTAATAGTTGATCATATCACTAATGTCTAAAGCAGTACATGGAACACTTAACTGAGGTCTGGATATGTAATAAGCCTTTCAGTTTACCTTTAATAGTCAACGCACTTCACTAATCAAATTAATGAAAACTTGGTTTAAATACAAAGAGAGTTCTCCTTGCCTATATGTGCTGTCTCTCTAAATGTAAGTATTTAAAATACTTACCTGAATATGAATTACTGGTGAAATCAGTAATTCATAAAGATATGAGCAAAATTGGATTGTATATTCTAAAAAAAAAGACTTTTAACACAGTGTTATTACCTACTTTAGGTATTAGTTACCTGTACTTCCATTGCCCTCACTGAATTTAACTCGTATTGTTTAGATTATTAGATCAGACATAGATTAATTTATTCTCTGCCAATTTCTTAGGAAACCTTATGAAAATGAATGTTAAACTTTTCAAGAAAAAAATGTATAGTCCTTGGATTAAAAGAAAAACTATTACAAATATTCCCAAGTATGTAATGTGTAGTCTAGAGTTTTATCAGTGTGTGATTCTAAGAACTTTGGGGGTGAGACACAATATTATGAGATCAAAGAAATAATGGGGAAAGAATTATTCAAGGACACTAGTCACAGCCATTAATATTTTAATAAAATCCTGAACACAATAGGAAAGTGAAATAATGGCTCCTTGTCTGAAATATGCACTAATTTGGGATTATCTAAAATGGCATTTCAGTTTTAATCAGATTTAATGATTATCATGATTTCAGTGTTCTCCATATAAAAATATGTTGTTAGCTAATGAGAAGATCTTGAAACATAAAATGTTTTTTCTTTTGCAGAACAATGCCACAGAAGAGGTTGAAGAGGTAAAAATCAAGCAAGCGGGGACACCTGCAGTCTTAGTCACTGACAATGGATTTAGAAATAAAGTTGCACATTAGTCACCCCCATCCTTTTTCTTTTAAATTCTTAGATAATATTTATGCTTAGTGTAAACATTCTGTGAATGCAGTTTATGCTTCTGTGGAATATATTAATATATTACTGTATATCCACTTTTTCATGGAATGGTACAGTGGGAGACTGAGCAAACACTCTTCTGGCAACTTAGTGGAACAGCTAAAAGGCTTTGCATGCTTGCTTCTTTAAGCTGCTTTTTTTTCTTTAGTGAATACAGTAGTTTATCTGAAAAGAGAAAGCGATCATCATAACGTACCCTCACACTTTCCAGGAGAACTATTAATGAGCTGATAGGAATCTTGTCAACAGTAACTGAAGCTAACATACCCTGGGCGGTACATACTACCAAGGGATTATTGTATTACTTCTAAATACAGTGGAAAGTAATCAGTTATCATTTGTAACCTCATGTTTCTTCACAAATCCATAACAAGAGGTGTTAAATTATAAACTATGAACCCATGTTAGTGGTATGCCTGTTTTTCCCAATCAAGTATAAATACATATACTAAGGCTGAAAGGTGTTGATAGAGTGTTGCAGTATGTCTGACCCTTTTATCAGAACTAGCATAGTATGTTAATGAGATCTACTTTTATGAATGGTTTTTGAAAAACCTTTAGTTAAGCAGGTAATGATATTGGTGTCTTATTTTAATTTTTTTTGACCTTTGAGACTCCTATTCACATGTAAAGTGTATTTTTTTTTTTATTTGGTCTAACTTTCTGGATGTAAAGAAAATAGTATTTTTTAAAAACATCTAGAAATTTAATTCTTTATGCACCAAAGTTGGCTATGAAAAGGAAAATTAAATCATTTTCTTGCTTAATAAGCAAGAAGTCATGGATTTTTTTAACTGACAAATAGAAATGTGTCTTATCTGTTAGTCTTATATGGAGACAAAAATGTTGCATACAGATAATAGGATGTTGCTTGTAAATAATTCAGCAGATTTGTAATATATTTTTATATTATGAAATGTACTGTAGATGTTTTCTAGGGGCATGAAAGTTAAAATGTATATATTATGGTAGAAATAATATTGAAGGATATTGTAATTCACTAGGGCTGCCAGAAGAATTGTTTAAAAAAGCACCTTCCTTAACAATAAAAAAGTCTTTTGCATACCTAAGGGAATATATATACTACTGTTAATATCTGTTATAAGAACAAAAGTACATTGAACATCCTTCCCAGAAATCTTTGAGGGATGAACAATACCCATAATGAATTTTTGGCACTCCTTTCTGATATTGAACGTAAAATCGGTCATTTCCTTGCTGTTGGAAGGAACAAATATGAAATATGTGTGGATATATGCAGTCAAACTGCAGAATTAGCCCTCCTTGTTGGGGAGGAGTTTTCACGTTACTACAATGAATCTAAAAACCAGCAGTTTTTACACTAAATTTTTATTAAATAGAATAAAACTTAGGAATAACCTTTTGGCTGCAGGAGTGAGCATATTCTAATATAATATAAATGCATTCTGCATTGGTACTGACATGAGAGACTCACTTAGCTCCAATGGGTTAAAAATGTTACTTATACTACATGAAAAAAATCTTATCAAACAAAATGAAGTGCAGATTGAAAGCACCGCTAATATAAGATGTTCTGGAATGGTTGTTTAAGAAATAAGGGTATTATTATTCATACAATCTGTAGCAATGTGACTTTATTTTTGAAAAAAATGCAGTTTTTTGTTTTGGGGTTTTTTGTGTTTTTTTTTTTTGTTTTGTTTTGTTTTTTGCTTGAGCACTTCATCTACTGCTTTTTCTGTACCTATAAATAATTTACAGTCTCTTTGGTTCCTTTTTGAATTTATTATAAAATTGCCAAATAGAAGTGTTTCAGATATAGTTTGTATTTGTATTTTTTTTATTTTATTGCTTCATGAGTTTCTTGTAAGTCATTTATAATTGACAGATGATTGTAGACCTCACCTGAGTATTTTTTCTAATAAAACAAAGCAAACAATCACATACTAGCTTCAGAATTGTAACCATTCAATAACGCTCTTCAATACAGAGCTGAAGATAAAAGTTTTAAATCCATTTAGTTTCTTTGTAAATTATTGAATGCACAACGTTTTGCACCTCAGGAATTATTGGATAGTTGCATCTGAATTTGTGCTGGTAGCCAAAAGGTAAGCGCTTCTTTTTTTTTTTTTTGCCTTAGTTAGAAGGAAGTTTTTCAACTTGTATAATAATAAATATAAGCACATGTAAACATAAACACTTTATATATTTAATTCTTTTATGGTATTTTGTATTCACCTGTCGGGATCCTGTCATCGTATGTATGCTAGCCAAACAAAAGTGACCCTTTAAAGCTTCTGTTTGGGTAAGTTTAGTTGGTTGTGTTTGGGAAGACTGGTTGCTTTTTCAAGGTAGGCCATGAGGATAAATGGTAATGCTAATGATATTTTGCTTTTCATTCCAGCTTATTTTCATCTAGCTTTTAAATGAATGAAAGCTAAAGAAAATCTGTTATTAAATGCATACTCCTAATTTCTCTTTCAACTAATAAAGCTGCTGTGTAGAGTTCTTTTGTAGACAAACTCCAGAAAATGGCTAATGATGAATCTGAAATAATCCTGTTAGTTCAATTATTTTAAATGCATTTCTGTTAAAATGGTTATTCTTTTAGTACTTAATATTATGGCCTGTAAAAATCTGAAGTTCTGTTGTGTCCAGTGCTAACCAAACATGGAAATTAATGTGTTCTGCCATGAAGACTTTTAAATTTAATCTTTTATATGCCTGAGGAATGTTCTGATTTGTGAAATACAAAGGCAGAAGGGAGGAAAAGAGCCCTAGTCTCTTCAAAGGGAAAATGATTCTGCAGTCTCCATCATGGATTTGAAGTTTGCAAACCAGCTCTAATATTCCCAACCTGTAGCAATGCCCAGCCCTTCCTCCTTCCTGCAGTCTTATGCCTGTTGTTCTTCGTTCCTGTTTGAATTGAATTATAGAGAACATGAGCGGGAGAGAAATGTCTACATTATGCACTAAGAGTTGCCAGGGTAGGACAGAGATGTGCTAGTGTAATCCAAGTATCAGTGCAAGATCATCATTGCCTAATTGAACAGAAATTAGGATTCAGTAAATATGCATGACTTGTATCAGTCTCTATATCTGTGGAGAAACCTTCCTTCTATTGTGGTTGAAAATTGTTGCCCATCTTCTAGACATTTGGGTGGACCTAGTTGTAGATGTAACCTGACGTTTGGTGGGAGAAATTTGAGGAAGACCTTTTCACTCATTTGCATCAGAAAAAATTAATAAGAGCATAACATTCTCTAAAGGTTGTATTTTAGCATTAATCTGGGGGCAAATAAATTGCAGTGAGTCAAAAGGAGACATGTTTTCATTGTATATCAGCTGTTTTGCTGTAACTGTCCATGTATCTGCTGTTACCCTATATACTTATTTACTTGGATTTAAGAATTTTTTCTTTTCCCCCAGTCAACTTGGGAAAGGGAGCAGGGGGAGGAAGGGGGTGAAAGCCTTGCCTTGGATTTGAGTACTAGCTAGGGCAGATGGTTGCTACATTCCAAGCTATGGATCCAGGATCAAAGCAGGACCTGAGCTACTGAGAAGGGGGTGCATAGCAGAGGAGTGAAGGGGACACCTGTTGGGGGAGGGGGTGCATGCAGAGGAGACTGTGGTGGAGGCAGGGGCAGTGGGAGAAATCTGTCATGTGCAGCTTGGGGAGAGGAAAGAGGTGACCACATGTCCTGGTCCACCACACTCCCCATCCCTGCTTATCTTCTGCTCCAGAGCTGCTGCTTGCTTCCTGACTGGGCCAGGTTGTTGCCACTGACTGCCCTGGAGCCTGAGCCACTACAGAAGGCCAGTGGATGATGGGGTAATGGGCAGGTGTCTGCCCCCCCGAAATGCTGCTTTCCCTGCCTCAGCAGTAAGGGGGTAGAATTTAAGAGAACTCCCCCATTAATTATGTTCTATGTATGGTGAATGATAACAAATTCATACATTTTCTTTTTATAGAATATTTTTGGGGGATTGTCTTAAATTCAGAGTAGCCTTGGATGTGGGTAAACAGGGTACAATTTCTTTATTTTAATAGAATTTCTTCCCACTGCAGTTACTTTGATGTACAGCAGAGAATGACCCAGATTTGTTTATTAGATATGTTGATCTATCAATATCTAATGAGAGCAAAGCTTTTTATAAGAATCACTGATTGTTAGATATCTTAAATTTTAAGATGCCTATCTTGAGGCACTCTATAAAGGTGCCAAAATTTAGGAAGTGGTGAACTTCTGTTCGCTCTGAAATTTGCTGCCTTTTCCTGTGTTGTATTGGATACCGAACTCTTGAAGAACCCCAGATCTCCAGTCATTTTGGAATACCTCTGCCTACATTTTGTGTGGATGGTAGGGCATTTGTAGAAGCAAAAGTAGATTTTTTTTTTTTTCTGAAAAAAGAGAGTATATGGCATCTGGAAGGCTGGGTTAGCTGGAAATAACTTGCTGGGAATTGTATGATCATGTAGTACTGGATCATGCTTTAATTCTGTCTACTACAGTGCATTAAAAACAGAAACTAGTACTTTTTAATGTTTTTACTTTTATTATGCAAGTACTTTGTGTGAAATGAGTTTGATGTAATTGAGATAAGAATAGCACCAGGCATACTGATATGACTTGATTTCTACAAAAGAATAGACTCAGGTGATGTTCTGATTTCAGTTACAGTGATATAAATCTGGAATTAGCTCCATTTGAAAACAGGATTCAGTACTAGCGTACTTGAGATCAGAAATAATTTATTAACTTTATTCCTTTTTGTGTTTCAGTGCAAGATTATTCTGTTCAAGTAAAACTGGTCTTATCCAGTATTTCAAGTTTTATTTAACATTTCATCCTCTGCCACTTTTTATTTACAATTTGAATTTTCTGTACATGAACGCAGGCAGAAATGTTTCTCAATTTGTTCTAAGTTGGGGGGGTGGAGATGGGGGCACAGCAAGAATCCTATTGGAAGAGTTTATTTTTAAGAGTGCAAATAGTTGAACCTACAGTCCGTTTCAGTCATTTACTATAAGTTGTTTGAGTAAATGTTTACAGATCTATTCTGCAAATGGCTCCCACTTGCACATGGATTTGCAAGTAAAATAAACACTTGGATCCCTGAAAACAGTATTTTAAACAGAACATTCCAGAAGGGAAAGATGGCCTATGCATAATTTAGATTTTTTTTATAACCATATAAAAATGCCCCTATATTTATTAATGACCAGGTGTTTTTGTTAGGTTACCAACAGGTTCTTTAAAATAACGTTACATAAATTTTAAAAAGCAGATGGGAATGTGCTGGCTTGGTAAAACTGAGCTGTCAAAAAAGGATTAAACTGCCCCTTGTTGAGGGTAAAGTGAAAGCTCTTCCTCTGGATGTCCCCAAGAAGCAACCTTATTCAGTGTCCCTCTCCTGAGAAGGCCCTTTGGAGCCAGGCCCAGCGTGAATTCACAAGAGGCAAGCATCTGGCTTTGAGACCCTTCCCCTTCTGAGTCTCGTGCTTCCCTGGTGATCTATAGCCCTCCCACCTCTGGGAGCTACTTCCTTTTAATGAGCTCCCTCAAAGTAAGAGAGTGTTTTCTCCTTTTAAGCGGGGGAGGAGGAGTTCAGAGACTGCTTCAAAACAGTCAATCTTTATTGTGCCATTCCAATTTCCCCTGTGCCCTGAGACCTTCTTTCCCTTAAGCTCTCTGAGCTTCACTCTTTCTCTTTAGGCTCAGCCAGCCACACTTGCATCAAAGCAGTTACAAAGCTATAGTCTTGCAGGGTCTTCTCCAGGAGAAACTGAATATATGAAACCCAAGAATGCTCCTCTATCCTATGCTTAATCTGCTTTGTACAACATTTTTGTTGGGGAAAATTCTCTGCAGGCAGGCTTTTCAACTATTTCATGCTGCCACTGTAACCAATAGTAGTCCAGTCATGTATATAAAGATTTCATAGACGTGGAAGACGTCTATGAAAGATTTCATAGACGTGGAAGGGACCTCGTAATATCTTCGAGTCCAGCCCCCTGTCCCAGGGGCAGGAAGACAGCTAGGGGCAAAGGATTCCAGCAAGATTGGCATCCATATGTTACTTAAGAGTCCAGAGTAGGTGCTTGCACCACTGCTGGAGGAAGTCTATTCCAGGCCTTGGGGGCTTGGACAGTAAAGAAGTTTTTCCTTATGTCCAGCCTAAAAACGGTCTTAGAAGAGTTCATGACTGTTTGATCTTGTCATCCCTTGGGGCGCTCTGGTCAACGGGTGTTCTCCCAGATCCTGATGTTACACCCCTTACATACTTATAGGCTGCCACCAGGTCACACCTGAGCCTGCGCTTTTCCAGGCTGAGTAGTCCCATGGCTCTCAGCCTTTCCTCATAAGGCCTATTCTCCTGCCCTCTGATCATGTGCATGGCTCTCCTCTGGACTCTCTCAAGCTTTTCCACATCCTTTTAATTTGTGGAGCCCAGAATTGGATGCAGTACTCCAGCTGTGGCCTCACCAACACCTAGTACAGCAGGAGGATGACATTTGCTTGAAAAGCATCTATGAATGCAAGCAGTGTTGCTCACTTTACCAGCTGCAATATCACATTGGTGACTCACATTCATCTTGTGGTCAGTTATGACCCCCAAGTCTCTTTTGGCTGTGGTGCTAGTGAGCATAGCACTGCCAAGCCTATAAGCGTGATGTGGGGTCCCCCCCCAGGTGCAGTACCTTGCATTTTTCGATATTGAATGTCATCAGGTTTTTATCTGCCTATTTTCTGAGCCCATCAAGGTCGGCCTAGATCTATAGGCCGACCTTTCTGAGCCTAGATAGGTCGGCCTATCCTCAGGTGTGGACACTTTACCCCAAAGTTTGGTGTCATCAGCGAACTTGGCCAGTCGTCTTCTGACACCAATGTCCACCTGGTTAATAAAGATGTTAAAAAGTATAGGTCCAAGGACAGAGCCTTGGGGGACACCACTGGTCATGGAGCACCATGATGATTCACTTCCCTTGATTACCAAGTTCCGGGTCTGACCTCGGAGCCAATTCCCCAGCCATCGGACTGTGATGTAGCCATGGCTGCAGTTGGCCAATTTTTCATTGAGATCATGGGACACCAGATCAAAGGCTTTTTTAAAGTCCAGATAAGACGCCAATCTCTTCCAGGTGATAGGTCACCTGGTCATAG